CAAAAATGCACCTTCGCCTGTGTAGGCAAAAATCCTTGCACCGGCCCTGGCTCCGGGAGTCATGCCTGTAACTGTCAGTAACTGTCAGTCTTGCAATGCCTGATGGGACTCGTAGTTCCACAACAGCTGGAGAGCCGGATTTGCCCACCCCTGGTGTGGAAGATAGACGGACAGGTTGGAGTAGGAAGTTTCAGAGGATGGGGGAGGCTCTGGAGAAGTCCTGAGGAGTGACCATGAACGGGAGGTCTTGGGAGGAGCGTAGAAGGCGATTTGGGTGACATTTTGAGACGAGGTCGGTATAATACAAAGCATTGAAATATACCTGCTTTATGTGCGATGCATTTTGGTGGCATTCATTGTGAATGGCACCCCAAGGCAAGGCACGGTAAAGTACAACGCACTACTCATACCGTGCATTGTGATGTGCCACATTGTTGGAAAAGAGTCCTGTGCTGTTTTGATGTATCGGCATCCCATTTATAATGAAAGGACGGCCAATATGTGTCTTGACACACCACAGTTGAATGCTTACGTGTGTTCGGGGCTTTAATCTTCTCAAATATTACATATGATGATCATGTGATCAACCAATCAAAGATAACCTGTTATTTGGTCTTTGCAGAATCTGAAGGAGACGGGTGACTGTTCCCAAGCAGGGAATGCATGGCCAGCCTCTCCCTTAAGTAAGTATATGATTAGATCGGAGTTCCTAATTCCAAAGACAACATTGTAGAAAGATATTGTGATTCCTCACCTTCTGAGTTACCTTCTCACCTTCTAAGGAACCTTCTCACCTTCTGAGGAACCTTCTCACCTTCTGAGGAACACTGAAAAGTTGATGTAGCCTAATGCAGGTCTCTGCCCGGTATATACACCTATGTGCCATATCTAATCATGCGTTCTTCTCCGGCACAGGCGTGAAGGTTTATCTATTTGTCGGTTGGATCTTCTGACCCTCATTTGGCATCTATATGCAGTTTCGTTGGGGCTCGCTAACACTTCCCTGCTGCCAGGGACACATTAGTTTTATGAGGAGGTATCGTGAACAAGACGCTTGACTGTAATGCAGTGTGCCGTATACACTATATGGCCAAAATAGCTTCTGTGAAATGAGAAATTCAAAAAGCAAGTCATATGTCAAGTGAAACGTCTTCAAGAAAAATACAGCCAGTCCAGTTGCCTTGATTGATTTTTTATAGCTATACCATGTGACCTGGATGAATGAGAACCTTCACAGATATATGGCCAACAGGTTTGTAGACACCTGACCATGGCACCTATATGAGCTTGAAGGATCCTATTCCAAAATCATGGCCATCACTGTGGAGTTGGCCCACACACCCCCATGGCCATTAATAAGGAGTTGGCTCCCTTTGTGGCTATACCATCCTCCAATCTTCTGGGAGAAGTTTCAACAAGGTTATGAGGTGTGTCTGTAGGAATTTGTGCCCATTCAGCCAAAAGAGCCTTTGTGAGGTCAGGTACTGATTTTGGATGAGAAGACAATTGTCATTCTAGTTCGTCCCAGAGATGTTCAGTGGGATTGAGGTCAGGACTCTGTGCAAGACACTGGACTTCCTCCACGCTGTGTTCAGAACATGGAAAAATAGTGTCAAGGGAAAGCCCTTGTATCTTCCACCATGACTGTGCCCCAAGCCAGCTCCCTAAAGACATGGGGCACTAAAGACTGTGCCCCAAGCTAAGCTCGTGATTCCAACCTTTTGGAAATCCACCACACAGTCCTCATTGAGGGACTGGTTTTCCAAACTACCCTGAGATACACTCGGGCTATGCAATAAACATTCTTTACAGAAAAAAAAGGGCCTTCCCTAAACTTTTACCCAAGGTTGGAAGTGGACAATTGTCTAAAATCTCTCTTGCAGCATTAACAGTGCCCCTCGATTGAACCACCTGAGCCCAATTATTTGTAAGGAGGTCCACATACTGTAGGTGCCATGGGTAGTTGTCCACACATCTTGGTCTTGTAGTGTGCCTTTTATCAAGTAACTGAAGAGTTAACACAGTGCCCATAGTGAGATGGTGGACCTAGGAACAGACATAGCTGAATAGTCCCCCCCTCCTCCAAGTCTCCTCACTCCTTCTACTGAAGTGATCTTTGTGTTCCTTCCCCCCCTCCCTCCCAAATCAGCTGTGTTACTCCATGTCTTCTCCTTGCTACAAGTGGAAATACTGAGGAAGGGGGAGTGAGGGCTGGAGATACAAGTTAAGCAGATTCCCCCTCTGGACAAAACACAGATTTAATGCAAAGCAGCCTTTCTCAGCCGTTTACCATTGAGGAACCGTTGAAATAATCTTTCGGTTCTAGGGAAACCCATCTAAGCTCATGGTACATAACATGAAGTAGCTTGTAGATATAGTAAAGGATAAAAGGTTGAGGACTATGGGGTGCTCATTTGTATTTGGCACCCAGGACTTCTAACAGCCACCCCACTCTAAGAAAAATATATTCTATTTCAAGTCATTATCTTAACTTGAGGAGAGAAGGAACGCAGAGAGAGGAGACAAGCAACGCAGAGAGAGGAGACAAGGAACGCAGAGAGAGGAGACAAGGAACGCAGAGAGAGGAGACAAGGAACACAGATAGAGGAGACAAGGAACGCAGGGAAAGGAGACAAGGAACACAGATAGAGGAGACAAGGAACGCAGAGAGAGGAGACAAGGAACACAGATAGAAGAGACAAGGAACGCAGAGAGAGGAGACAAGGAACACAGATAGAAGAGACAAGGAACGCAGAGAGAGGAGACAAGGAACGCAGGGAGAGGAGACAAGGAACGCAGGGAGAGGAGACAAGGAACGCAGAGAGTAAAAACCTAAGTGTCCCTTTAAATTGGTGGTCAATGTAGAAGTGCCTGGTTTACCTTTGGTTACCTGGAAAAGTTCCATCTTAAATTAATAGTCAGCGTATAAGTGCCCCCCTTGCAGAGGTTGTCCAAGGAACCCCTAACAACCTCTGGGGGAACCCTGGTTGAGAAAGGCTGCTCTAAAGTAATTTACCCTGTGGGAGCTCCCTTAGTGCTCCGAAAGCCAAGAGAACCTTTAGTTCCTCAAGTCATGCTTGGCTTTGCCCCCTTCTAAGTATAGGCCATTGCTTCTGTCCATCACAAGGATGGACCAACCTGGAAAAGGAGAGGGCATGGGACCAAGCACCACCTCAGGAGCTATCTGCATATTAGAGCCTCCAGGCTTTGGGGCTCCTTGGGAGATTTACCAGATATGTGACCATTAGAGATGCACCGATACCGTTCAGTTACAAGTACAGATATTTATATTTCGGTACGCGCCGATACCAAGTACCAATACCGGTATGTCCACTAGCATGGAGTTGGCTTCCTGGGAAATCAGGAAGCCGGGGTGGCACGTCATTACCCGCCCCCCGGCTTTCTGGTTGGTCGGGAAGCTGGCTCCATGCCCTTAGGTTGGCCCGATGCTGATTGGCTGGAAAGCTGGCTTCCCGGCCAATTGGCATGGATTCTGTCAGTATTGAACCGGCCAAACAGCATGGAGGCGGCTTGCCGGCCAATCAGCAAGCCAAGCGGTGGGTAATAACCCGCCTCACGGCGTCCTGATAGGCCGGGAAGCTGACTCCATGTTCCCTGGCGGCACTGGCGGTTAAAGGAAATCTCACTCTGACTGGAAGTTCCGGTATTGGAGGTAAGTATCGGAGCATTTGGGTGAGTACGAGTATCGGCGCATCCCTAAGGACAATGTATGCTGGCTGTGTTTTAGAACATTGAAGATGAATATTCGTTCACTTTAAATATGGCGCCCTGGAAAATACATTAAGAATCTGTTGTGATACACTTTATGGTCAAACATTTGTTGACAGTTCACCAGCACCCCAACTGTAAGTCGTCGTCAAGCCCCCCCCCCCAAATAATTGCATTCCGGTGTTTCCAGCGAAGTGTACTGTTAATGGTGCAGTATACCAAGACATTGTAGACAATTGTGAGCTTCCATCCTTCAGTAAACAGTTTGGTGAAGGCCTTTTTCTGTTCCCCCATCCCCTGTGTACAAAGCCAGCTCCATAAAGACATGGTGTGACCAGTTTGGTGAGGAGGAACTCGAGTGTCCTGCACAGAGCCCCGACCTCAACCCTCCTGAACACCTCTGGGATGAAGTGGGATGCTGCATGCGAGTCAGACCTTCTCATCCAAAATCAGTACATGATGCTCCTCTGTGTGAATGCATCCAAAGGAGTGGAGATTGTTATAGCAGAAAAGAGGGCCATCTCCATATGAATGGCCATGGTGACTAGGGGCGGGGGGGGACTCCATATTAACGTCCATGGTTTTGGAATGAAAGTCCAACAAGCTCCTATACTGTAGGTGTGATGGTCAGGTGCCCACAAAGTTTTGGCCAGGTAGTATTTTACAAATCCTCGCTATTGAAGTTATCCTTTTTTTTTTATTACAGAGCTCTCCATCTTGGAAGAATTGGCATGTACATAGGCCCCATGGGTCAATCATTCCTCCTCTTGGTAAGTCCCCATACCTAGCTTTGTAACAACAATACTCAGCAGGCTGCAGGAGACACATCAGTCTCATCTATTGCTGCACCTAGTTAAAGGTAAACTCCAGTCAGATTTTAAAAAAATGAATGCAGCTCTGTATTCAATATTACAATCCCTTTGCAAACCCAGACATGACCTTGTATAAGTAGCAGTGACATCATCAGAGCAGAGATTAGAGCTGTGTGAGGGACCCAACAGGCCCCATCCACTTTAAGGCTGCCAAAGAAACCTACAGGAGGAGGCGGAGACAAGACCAGTCACCCTGCACAAGGAGAGAGAGAGTAGCAGTGACCGGTCTTTATTACAGGAGGGGGCGGAGACAAGACCAGTCACCCTGCACAAGGAGAGAGAGCAGCAGTGACCGGTCTTTATTACAGGAGGGGGGCGGAGACCAGTGACCCTGCATAAGTAGAGAGAGCAGCAGTGAGCCGTCTTTATTATAGGAGGGGGCGGAGACAAGACCAGTCACCCTGCACAAGGAGAGAGAGCAGCAGTGACCGGTCTTTATTACAGGAAGCTCCAAGTCTCACACTGGATTACTGCACAGATCTGGAAGAAATACACAAAGCTCACCAAGATTCAGGAAGGACACACATGACTCTGGTATGAGGACGATATCTTCCCATCCCGGAGTTCAGCTTGAAGGAAACACTGATGTGGAGGAAGCATGCTTAGTTAGGAATGAGCTTGCTTGTATAGTGCTATGGACGTTCTCAACAACAGGTCTGCTTTAAATTCTCCTTTTTATTTTCCGCAGTGATAAAGGAGAAGATGCAAATTCCTGTCTGTCTTCAGCTGATAAGCACCACACAGGAGGTCCCCTTCCAAGATGGCCGATCGTCCGCAGGCCCCCGTTATCTCAGGATACAGGTGGCAGCCATGATGCCCTGTCAGGATGCACTGGACTTGTATCGTTACATACGTCTTGGTTCGGAAGACCGAAATCTTCTTACTGCCCCCAGAACGTGTAACAGTAATCAGAATGATATTTATATGAAGACGTTGGAGCACTGCACGGGATCAGGACCTGATACTTGCACATACATAGGAACATGTCTACAATCACTGTTCATACATCTGAGGAGACATCTGAACCTCGGTTGGCAGACATGGAAAGAAAGTTTATTGTAAAAGAAAAGACGAGATTTATAACTTGTGCTGTAAAATAAAAATGTTCCAGATGTTTATTTATAAATGTGTGTTAGAAAGGTCGTCTTTTATATGGTGACGAGGCTCCAGACGTGATCCGATCTTCTACAATATACATACTTATGTAATCATCAAAAAACGTTTAGACCTCCTCACAGGAAATGGTCCACCTTTCACTTGGGTTCCTCATGTCTCCATTGTATTACATGTTGGAAGCCGAATGTTGTCTCATTGTGTCTGAGGAACCCTAAGTCCCACCATGATCTCCTCCTCTTGTATCCAAAGAGCTACAAGTCCCACCACAAACCCTTAATGATGTCTCCACTGAGGACACAGACCCAAAAGTCCAAATATATCTCTTATTTGTATGTCTTCTAAGTCTGAATAAACTTAAGTTCTACTACAAACCCCTTCCGATGTCCCTCCTGTATCCAAAGAAGTTCAGGATGTCTCTTGTGTCCAATGTACATTGAGTCCCACTATGGGCCTTCTCTGGTGTCCAAAGTACAATGAGTCCAACTATGGCCCTTCTCTGGTGTCCGAAGTACAATGAGTCCCACTATGGGCCTTCTCTGGTGTCCAAAGTACAATGAGTCCAACTATGGCCCTTCTCTGGTGTCCGAAGTACAATGAGTCCCACTATGGGCCTTCTCTGGTGTCCGAAGTACAACGAGTCCCACTATGGGCCTTCTCCGGTGTCCGAAGTACAACGAGTCCAACTATGGCCCTTCTCTGGTGTCCGAAGTACAACGAGTCCCACTATGGCCCTTCTCTGGTGTCCGAAGTACAATGAGTCCCACTATGGGCCTTCTCTGGTGTCCGAAGTACAATGAGTCCAACTATGGCCCTTCTCTGGTGTCCGAAGTACAATGAGTCCCACTATGGCCCTTCTCTGGTGTCCGAAGTACAACGAGTCCCACTATGGCCCTTCTCTGGTGTCCGAAGTACAATGAGTCCAACTATGGCCCTTCTCTGGTGTCCGAAGTACAATGAGTCCCACTATGGCCCTTCTCTGGTGTCCGAAGTACAATGAGTCCCACTATGGCCCTTCTCTGGTGTCTCTTGTATCCGAGGTACCACAAGTTCCACATTCCCCATTCTGACCCTTTTCTGGTTTCTGTTGTGTCTAAATTACCACTGAAGTCCCACTTTGACCCCATTCTGGGGTCTCTCCTGTGTGCAAACAATGACAAATCCCACCATGACCTTGTACTGCTGCTAATGTATCCAAAGAAAAACACATTTCAGGGTGACCCTCTAGTGGTGTCAAGTTCAGGATGTCCCTTTCTGGTGTCTCTTGTGTTCGAGGTACCACAAGTCCCACTTTGGCCCCTTTCTGATGTTGGGTGGAAGGGCAGATTTTACCAATGGAGAACCAGTAATCAAGGCGTGGCACTCTCTGGGACCTGTTTTAAGACTACACGGCACTAGTACCCAGCCAAGGCTGTGATTGGACATCGGAGGAGTATCAGCACACATATGATGTCATCACTGTGCACTTTCCTACTGTCAGCAAGCAGCCAGAGTTGACTGAGCAGCATTGTACACAGTGCAGTAGAATCCTCATTGGGTTATAGTGTTGACTCTCCTCACTACAACCTAATTTCTGCCATGGAGGGAATTATAGGAGGTGATTAATGTGAATGTGTAAGGACATTAGAGTGTAAGCTCCTCTGTACAGAGACTGATGTGACTGTGGGGGAGGGGGCATTAGAGTGTAAGCTCCTCTGTACAGAGACTGATGTGACTGTGGGGGAGGGGGCATTAGAGTGTAAGCTCCTCTGTACAGAGACCGATGTGACTGTGGGGGAGGGGACATTAGAGTGTAAGCTCCTCTGTACAGAGACTGATGTGACTGTGGGGGGACATTAGAGTGTAAGCTCCTCTGTACAGAGACTGATGTGACTGTGGGGGGGACTGATTATTATGAGATCTCGCCGTGTCCCCGCGCGCTCCTCCTGCGTTCTCGGCGCTGCGTCGCGGTTCAGACACCTGCTGCTGCTGCTGCTGTTGGTTTGTTTTTCCGCTCATGTCAGATCTGCCAGCTGCACATCCTCTGTAACCTGCGCCGGGTGGAAGTGTCCGGGGTAACATCAGGAAAAGTGCGTCCGGCAGCTCAGGAATGTTAGTAAATATATAACGCGACCAAATTAGACTCTTTACGTACGAGTTCGCCGCGGACATCCGGCTTCTCAAGCAGAGAGGATGAGGAAATGTAAAACGAGCCGGGACGTAAATATCCCGCCATCCTCCAAATCAAAGCAGATGAATCATCAAACAATGGAGCGTGTCGTGTCCGATGGTGGGAACCGCAACGCCGGCCAAACGCTCAGACACAACGCTCGGCAGGTGATGCTGCAGCAGCTTAAAGGGACAGCGCTCTCGAGAAATATATAGGACGCCATCACCCTCCAGAAAATGTACATGTATCTGATGACAGGTCCACTTTAAGTGAATGTGACATTGTATTCAGCCGCAGAGTGATACTTTGTATTTATTAATAATGATATTATTACCGATATAGATCATTCATGTCCCAGATCTGGCCCCTCCCCTGCGTACTGCATCGTACCCGGCTACACCATACAACTATCACATCCTGTCCAGACAAATGTCACCATACCAGCCACAGAGTCACTATACCAGCCACAGGGGTCACCATACCAGCCACAGAGTCACCATACCAGCCACAGAGTCACCATACCAGCCACAGAGTCACCATACCAGCCACAGAGTCACCATACCAGCCATAGAGTCACCATACCAGCCACAGAGTCACCATACCAGCCACAGAGTCATCATAAACTCCAGAACATGTATTCCTGTGTGGTCCTCGGATGATGTTTGTTCCGGGATTCGTCTATGAGCATTGGTCAGGTGTCATTAATACATATAAGAGGAGAGCAGATTCCGTGTCATTGTATTATTTCCTCCCTCCGGTGCTCAGCCGCCACTCATTCCCGGCAGATCTCATCTCATCTCTCACTGGGGTTTTTTTTTCCCCTCATCAGCCGGCCGGACTTATTTCCGCCGTGTGTTCCCCCCAAATCATCAAAGGAGCAGTCATTTGCGTGTCCCAGAGGTGCCAGGACGCCGACTATTGGGCAGTAGGATGAATATGATGTCATAGAGAAGAAATGAATGCCAACTGGAGGCAAAATAAACCAAAAAATGAAAATCCCAATTAAAAAAAAGATAAAAAAGCCGCTTCTGCTGCAAGGTTCACCTTCAATCCCGAGATCTCCCCCCGCAGTACTTATCTCTGCCACTAGGTGTCCTCAGACTGAGAGCCGGATGGGCTAGTAATGCCTACATTAGCTTGCCTCAGCTGGTGGTCCACTGCCAGTACCTCCAGTCCCTGCCGTCTCCCATACCTACTGCAGGCCGTCCCCAATCTGTGACTGGACAGTGAAAGGAGAAGCAGCGCAGTGATGAGCTCATCTCTCTGTCATTCTGCTCTCCACTCCTATCAGCATGATGATTGGCTCCTCGTGCTGCTTCTTCCTCTACCACTCGGAGCTCTGCTGTACAGGGACTGCAACAGGCTGACACTAGAGATCAGCTTTAAGAAATACATTGTAAGGTCTAATTTGGGATAGACCATTATATTTGCCCTCCGAAGCTAATGGAGGATCTAGTGGTCTAGGTCAGGGCGTACTAACCTCGCCGCCCCACTACGAATGCCATCATGCCTCTACGAGTCATAACAGTGTCTTGCAATGCCTCATGGGACTTGTGGTTCCACAACAGCTGGCTGGAGTTTGCCTGCTTTGGAGTCTTTGTTGTGATGTTTGAGAATGAATGACTTCACGCTGCATGCAGCTACAGAGGTCACTGAAGGCTTCTTTTGCTGCTTGTTAGGAGGATGTCCATGGTCTGGGCAGAGGAGCACTCCCCCTGGTGCTGGTGATGGGGTAGCACAGCGCAATGCCCACCATGACTCACAATCCCTCAACAGATGATGGTGGCACAGTCCTCTTCTCGCCAGTATCACCTCCAGTTAGTGGCGTCACAAGCGGGGGTGACACCATTGGAAGGGTGACACCAAAATGACTGACAGTCATTTTGGTGTCACCCGCTCTGATAAGCCGGTCACTCGGTCACGGACCGAGAGCCTAACAGTGTCATGAGAGAGGAGGGGACCCGGTGGCATAGCTCATTCCTCCTCTCTCTGCCGGCGTCCATCACCAAGATGGCCGCCGGCAGGCATCAATTAGATGGTCGCACATGCACGATGACGTCATGGCGGGGTGTCACTCCAGTCTCCGCTCCGAGTGACACAGCCGCCCACGGGACGCACCTGCCTCCAGTCACTGCCATCATACATACCAACTGCAGGCAGTGTCACCTCCCGCTAGGTCCGACTCAGAGCTATAGTTCTGCAATCAGCTAATCCCATCCTACCTTCTGACTTAGCAGGAGGCATGTGGGACCTCCGCAGAGAGACCGCTGCTTCTCCATAGAGAACAAGGCCCTTTTCTGTAGCATGGTGGCAGGGGACAGGCTTCTCTACACGAGCTGCAGCTGCTTGAAATGCCCTTTGGATGAGCTCGGGAACTCTAAGAAGCAATGAGATGACAGTTCAGGCTCCCGCGGTGCTCAGCGGAGCCCTCCTTTAACATCAGGCATTACTCAGCACTCTGT